TTTGTTCTCAATGGTTTCATTGACTTCATGACCAAGCTGGCCGAGAATTCAGAGATCTGCCTGCCTCTGCCACTGGAGTGCTGAATTAAATAAAGGTGCGCACCACCACACCCAACCCTAAACTCTCCCCTAATTCCTTTTAACAGATTGGAAACCTAGCTGGGTGGAGTCTTGTCCCCATTCCCTTCATGCCATTTACTGTCAGGCTTTTCTTTAATCTGTTTATCTCCTTGAACACAGGAGTTAGCTCCACTGCATTTCCAGGTGTCCCTTTTCTCCTTGAACTGTACATTTCTCTTGCTTAGCCTGCTCCTTTTTATTATAGATCTTCGTAAGAGTAAACACTAATAACCACACGACAAAGTCAATATTAGGCTGATTTGAAATTTCCTCTGCCAATGCAATTAATCCAAAACTTCAATTTAGCATCAGGCAGACTTCAGATAAGGGCAAAAATCAGCCATTTTCTTCACCAAAATATCACAATAGTCTCTAGGATACATAGTAATATTCTTCTCCTCTGAAACCTTAGCCAGGCCTTCCTACATATAATGAGTTCAAGGCTAACCTGAGCTACTTGAGATCCTTGACTCAAAAAATCATAAGGTCATAGATTTCAACACCACGGATAGTATATTTATGACCTTTTCTTTCCTTTCACTTCAAAATCATTTGGAGGCAAAAGGATAGAGCCAGGTGACACATGCCTTTAATTCTAGAACGCAGGAGACAGAGGCAGGTGATTGTGAGGCCAGCTTGGTCTACAGTGATTTCCAGCACAGCCAGAAACCCTGTCTGGAAAAGCCCTGCTCTCTTCAAAAAGGCCAGATCTCAGTCCTCATACATCAGACACCCAGAATAGTGAAATGTTAAATGTTACTGACATTAATACAGAAGCTACATTAACTATAATATATAATTGTGTGTGTGTGTGTGTGTGTGTGCCCGCACGCACACTGCGATCACAGCTGTATATGGCTGGGCCTGGCTTTTACATGGGTGCAGAGAAAGCACCTAACAGACTCACCCTAGCACCCTATAAGATAAACTTCTAAACCAGATATTCCATAGCAACTAATTAGTATTTAAACTGTGAGATCAAGTGCAACTGTCACAAAAACAGAATCAATGATCTTCCCACCTTAGCTCCCCAAGTGCTGGGATTATAGGTATATGCTACCACACCAGGCTTTTTGTCTTTTTCTCTCTCTCTCTTTTTTTTTCCTTTCTTAGAGATAGGGTTCCTCTGTTTTGCTTTGGAGCCTGCCCTGGAACTAGTTCTGTAGACCAGGCTGGATTTGAACTCACAGAGATCCGCCTGCCTTTGCCTCCTGAGTGCTGGGATTAAAGGCATGGGCCACCAATTAAAGGCAAGTGGTGAGGCTGGAGAGATGGTTCATCTGTTAAGAGCATTTGCTGCTCTTGCAGGGGACTTGGATTCTGTTCCCAGCACCACATTGTGACTTACAACCATCTATTACTCTTATTGCTCTCTACTTGTTTCCCTGGACACCAGGCATGCACATGGTACACATCCACATAGGCACACATTCAGACACATAAAATAAAAATGGACAAATTCTTAAAGGCAAATGGTCTAAACCTTTTTATATTTACAAAGTATTTCCAGGACTGCCTGGCAGCACAACCAGATTTGATTCCCAGCACTTCGAAGCACTAGCATTACTACATTTGATGTCAGATATGGTAGATATCTTTCCCTACATTGTGGCTTGAAATACCTGAAACTCACCAGGTGTGATGTTGTGTATCTTTAATCCCATCACCCAAGAAGCAGAGGCAAGCACATCTGAGTTTGAGGCCAGCCTGCTGTACACAGTGAGTCCCAGGCTGGCCAGGGTGATATAGGGAGACACTATCTCAAGCAAACAATGCAAAATTAAAAGCCTTAAACCTGTTCAATATAAAAAGCAACCGTTGCATTCAAAGGTCCTCAGTTTGTTTGTACAGGGTTTTATTTCATAGTTTTGGCCAGGAACTTGCTATGTTACACTGGCTGACCTCAAACTTGCACTGATCCTGCCTTAATCTCTTGAATGCTGGGATTATAGGTTTGCACCACAACATCAGCTTTTTAGTAGCTTTTATATTCAAAATGAATGTTCATGTCATTTTGTATATCGTAACTACTACTAAATTTGAAAATAAAGATAGGACTAAGTCCCCCCCCATTTATTTATTTATTTATTTATTAATTATCTGTGTGTGTTAAGTATGAGGAAGTCAGAGGACACCTTTTGGGAGTTGATTCTCTTACCATGTGAACTCAGGATCAAACTCAGGATGTCGGATTCAGTGGCAAGACCTTTACCCACTGAGCTATTTACAGTCCTCAGGTTTTTTGTTGTAGTTTATTTTCCATAGCCTAGGCTAGCCTCAAGTTTACTGCAGTCCTCCTGCTTTAACCACTGAGTACTGGGATTAGGCATGTGCCACATCTGAATTAAATCTTTTTACAAGACGGACGCCTTTCAATTATTTATTCACCACAGCTGAGATTATTCCTTAATGTGAAACCACTTTAAAAAGATTGCATCATAAGGGCTAAAATGGTGGCCCAGCAGTGTAGAGCACATGTTCTTTCAGACCTGGGACCCAGCACCTACATGGCAGCTAACAACTATCTGTAACTCCTGTTCTACAGGATCGGTTGGTTGCCTTCTAACCTCCTCAGGCCCCAGGCATCACACACACACACACACACACACACACACACACACACACACACACACACACATATTCAGGCAAAACACCCATACATATAAAAATTTAAAAATACAAATAAACCTTTTTTTTAAAAAAAAAAAAAATCCCATAAATTAGCTCTAACAAAGGACCTGTATCAGAGTATTGAAAGCCTCCGAGGCTTTGTAATCTGCTAAACAGGCACATTAAATATTTAATGCTGGCCATACTTTTTTAGTGATGAAAAACAACAGCTGAAAGTCAGTTTAGGAAAAATGCCAACTGTTCTTTCTATTGTCTAAAAATGGTACAATTGCTTTTATACTCATCGATACTTTTTTTTTTTTTAAAAGTCATGTAGCCCAGGCTGTCCTGGAATTCCCTATGTAGCTGAAAGTGACCTTGATGCACTGATCCTATTTCTAAAATGTTTTGAGTGCTAGCATTTCACATGTGTCATCAAGCTTAATTTTGAAAATGGAATTTCTAGAACCGTATCTACTATTATTATTATGTCTCTGTGTACATGATGTGTGTGTCTTCCTTCTAAGTGTGGGGGTCAGGGGACAATGCTGAAGGGCCAGTTCTTCTATACCCTTACGTGGGAACTGAGCTCAGGCTGCCAGGCTTCCATGGCTAGTGGAGTGGTCTTACGTTAAACCATTTCTCTGGCCTAAAAGCAGGATTTCTAAATGAAAGCTTATTAACCAAAATCCTGAAAAGTCCTGCATATAGTGTTCCCTCTTTAAGCTACATTCTTAGTTTTCCAACTTTCAATGTTTTAAAATAGAAGTAAACACATCTCAACAGCCTTAAATATTTTCATGTATTTTATTTTTTAAAACACTTATAATTTTGCAAGCTAGCAGTAAAATATTGCTTTCAATATTTTACTAATTAGCACCATATACCTTTTAAAGCTAACTGGAACATTGTTTCACTGTAAATGATTGTAAAAGAAGATGTCAAATTATTCTCAACATATGATTATTAATTAAATTAAATCAATTTTTGGCTCTAGGCACATATGTGCACTTTAAAGATGAATTTAACTATGTTAATATATTTGCCAATCTAACAAAGTCAAAGTATCATAGTATAAAGCAGTATTTAATTTCAGAAATTATTCTAAAAAAACATAAAGAAATTGAGAAATCAGCTATAAACACAAAAGGTCATTCCTTTACTTTTTAGAAATCTCTTAATTTTTGGAAGAATAAAATAACTTAGTGAAAAAGTCCTTTGGTGCAAAGATCAGTTAAACATATTGTTTAGTACACATTACCATTTTCATGCTTTGCTTAGTAGCAGCCTTACCAAAAAGCCACGGAAAGGTCTGGAACAACTCACAGGGACAGCTGGAAAGCTGAAATAAAATTGCTTAGTGCTAAAAAGATCCCAATCATTCTTATAGTTTTAAATGGAAGTCTAGACATTTAACAGCTACATTTTAATGTTCTCATCTGAAAAAAAAAATCTTTCAAAAAAGTATAAAAAAATGTAATCATACTTAAATTACTTCCATACATTTAAAAAAAGAGGGTATTTTCACTTCCTATATTCTGATAAAAGCGTTAAAGTTCAGAGACACAACTGACTGCTCACTAGCACGCCTGTCTTGCATACCGGTAGAATCAAATCCAGTTTTGCCATCTGTGGATGACTATGACAAGATACAAAAGCATGTGTTTGCCATAAATAGCTCTGGCTAATAGCAAAGTGCGCACACTGAGCAGATCAAATTCTCTATAAGGAGAGCACTCTGGACCACGGCCAAATCCCATTGCTAAATGTTTAAGACTGCTATACCAATTTTTTTCCAATTCAATTTGGAAAAGATGTTAAGGATCATAGCTGAAATAAATGTTCCTAAACATCAGAATCATTATTAAATCTTTAGATGACATGTCACAAATTACTTTCATTATGACCAAGTAATAAAAACATCCTACTTCTACTTCTCAAAAAAAATTATTTAGTAATATAACTGTGAATTAATATCCTAATTTATCTAGAGGATAAATAAGATACTGGAGTATGCCACAGTGCAAAAAAAAATTCTGATCTCCGTATTATGACATAAATAAACATATTTATAAAAGAACTACCCTTTTAATGATTGTATATAAGTGGTTTTAAGATATTTTTAAACCAAAGAAATTCAACAATCTGGAGACATTATGAGTGTTACAATAAAGAAAAGGAAATCTCAAATACCAGTGCAGAGCTTAATTATGTTTACCCTAAATTTTCACATGACAATTTACAAAATTTCCAAGGAAAACAAGGCAACGTTCTGTAATATGCCACAATTTTTATTGCAACGTGGCCACTTTTGTCAGGGTAGGGAATTTGATCTCAAAACAATGTTCCATTTAAGGCTCTTTTATACAGAAATTGCCATCATGACTGATATTCAAAGTATCTGTACTGTTTCAAGACTCATACGGTAAACATAAAACTCCTACATTTATTCAGTAGTGTATACTCAATGGGAAACCAAAGATGTCAACATAGCTATTGAAGAAAATATGCAGGTAAGAGGAATGAACACTGAGGTACTAAGATAAATCAATGACAGGTAATGAAACTTAATTGGCATTCTTTTTAAGGGATTAAACACATTTTTTAAAAAAAAGTGCTTTAAACGCATAGTATTAAATCTGTGCTGCCATGTCACAAAAATAGGCTTGCCAAGGCAGGTGAGGTGTACAAATGCTCCAGCGCCTCAGAACTGTAATCAAGTGCAACTATAAATAATACTGAAAAAAAGTTTACCATATGACCAGTGGATAATACTTTCAAGGCATTCAATTAGCTTACCCTTTGTAGTACTCTAAGCTATTCACATTGACAATCACATCCATTGTAGTGCTCACTGCAAGGAAGGCATGTAACCAGTTGTTTTGGCTAAAATAAGATGGGGAAGGCATTCCTTGGGTTCTACATAAAAGTAACCGTATTAAACAGCCTAATGGCAATCACTGACAGGCTTCTTATATTCATTCATTCATCATTGTGTTGAAAGGGAATAAACAAAAAACAAAACCCAATACGATTCCAGTGGACTGAGCTGGAGAAATGGAAGCCCCTTAAGATCAGATGGCACTTGGCTATTATTTTATAGTGGCTTTCCTTCAAGGGAAACTACAACACTGCCTCCCAGTTTCTCTCCCAGTGTGGAGCGGTCCTTAATATCGTCCAAGCCATTTACTTGCCACTCATGTTTAATGCCTAAAAAAAAAAAGAGAAAAGGACACATCCATTAACCTTATTGTAATTAAGAAAGAAACTTTTTTTTCTCTGCACAAAACAGTCAATGTTTATACCTGTAAATTTCTTTTTAATGGCATCTTTAGAGCTAGCATAAATCATCTTGCTTTTTAACGGTGCACTTTCAGGAGCCCTATGGGGGGAGAAAATGTTGAATTTCAAAAGAAAAACACAGGCAAAACTGACTATGATAATAATAATCCTTGCATTTTTAAAAGTACTTTTTTCTTTTGTTTTTACACACCAGAATATAAATACTAGGTCTTCTTTCTTAGACTCTTTTGTTTCGTATGTGGCATCGTACAAAGCATATCGGCAATCATTCAGAGGTAGCAACTTCACAAAAGATGTGTAGGGGTCCTCTACAGTATCACCAATGTCACCCACCAAGATCTGCTTTGCTTCCTCTACAATTATTTGTCTTTTGTCATCGCTTAAACAGAAGAGAACTGCTTTCTTTCTTTTTTTGATCTCCTCTTGTGTAGAAGATTTTCTTACTTTCATATCATTAAAAACTTTGATGACTTCATCGTTCACTGTAACTCCAGATGCCTGAAAAATAAACAAAGGACAGGGATTTAGAACAAGTATTCTGGCTTCAACCAAAATTACTGCTGGACTAACAAAGCTTCACTCACTTCAGTTTGGGCAGGCTATAAGAAACTGCACCAAACTCAAGCAGTCCTAATTAGATCTGTCACATTTAAAGATCAGAAGGCACAGCTACATTTTCCAACTCATACTGCCCATTCATCCTTCTCAAAGCGGTACAGAGAAAACGGCAAACGGGAGGTGGAAAGGGACAAATACGAGTTGACCCATGCCTGAAATGTTTCCTATTTCACTGGGTGATGTCAGAGCTTCGGGAGCAGCAGCAAAAATACCTTCTGTATTGTGTCAACTCGGCAGGCCTTAAAAAAAAAATACGCTTCTGGATTCCAGTTAATGCTTCTACTATTTTTCCCCCTTCCTTTCTTTAAAGTCATCTTAGCCGCTGCTGCTTCCTCATAAGGAAAGAGAGTCAAGTGTAAACTCCAGCCGCCCGCGGCTACAGCAGAATGCCCCGCCGCCCATTGGCAGCGCTCTGGGAGTAACGGGTCCTGGGAACGGGTCCCCACGGCGAGCAGGCGTCTCAGCAAGGGTCTCCCCCTGCTCAGTGTCCTCCCAGCGGTTTCACGGCGGGCCTCCGGGACCCTCACCCAAGGGCTTCTGGACGCCCACCAACCTCACGGCAGCGCGGGGCTGGGCGGCACGCGGGCTGCGGCCGGACGAGGACCCTCTCGCGCCAGGCCGGCGCCCGGCCCTCCCGCCTTAGGAATCCGAGCGTCCGCAGGCCCGGGCCCGCCTGCCGCAGGGCCTCGAGCCGCGGGAACCACAACGCGGGAGCGGCCCACCGCACAGGCCCCGGGCCGGGTAAGATGGCGGCCGCGCGGGGGTCCGCGCCGCGCCCTGCATCCCCCGCCGGCGCGCCCACCTTACCATAGTGCCCGCGGCTGAGGCTGCGGCGGCGGTGGCTCGGGCTCCGGCTCGGTGGCACTGGGACGAGGAGAAGGAGGGGCCGGCGGCGGGCGGACGGGCGGGCGGGCAGGCAGCAGAGAGTGCGGGGCACGCCGGGAGCTGCAGCCGAGCGGGCGGCGGGCTCGGGGGCCGCGGGGCGGGCGCGGCGGTCACGTGGTCCGGCCCCGCCCCCGCCCCCCGCCCGCCCGTGTCCTCCGCCTGACCCCGGAGCTCCCGGGCCGCTAGCGGAAAAGCGCGGTGGCCGCGGGAGCCCCGGGCGGGCAGGAATGGCCGCAGCGACCAGCCGGGGCCATCTCGGGGGCCTAGACCCCGCCAGCTCGAGCGGTTTGCGGACTCTGGGCACCGCTCCGTGAGGAAACGGGATGTGGCGGTGGGGTAGAATTGCTTCCTTCACCTGCGTTTTCCACCGAGGGAGGGTCAGGATTGGAGCATTTCGGGGTCCTTTTGGAAGACCCCCAACTTTGGGCGACTCGTTTAGATCTCTCTGTTCTTCGTGTGTCTCATTTGTAGCCCGTGCGGGTCTCGGATTCACGATGTAGGTGCAGATGACCTTGAACTGATCGCCATGTCTCCATCCCCCAAGAGTTGGGATTGCTGGCATAGTACCCCATTTCCCCGGGTTTAGACCCCCTCCTCCCACTAAGATCAGAAAAAACACCATAATTATTACCCCAGTTTATTGAAGTACTAAGCAAAGGCAGGATGATAAGCAGGAATGTTGGCTCACATCTGTAATCCTGTGAGAAGAGGGCCAGGCATAGAGACCAGGTTGCATTTTCATAATGCTCTGGAGATGCCTTGGACAGACTCATAATCTAGATAAAACCAGTAGCTACTAGGGTTACATTTCTTTTCCCCTGTAAATGGGATCTATTGGAATTACTAGAAAAAAACATGTTTACAGCTGTGGAGGGAGAAAGGACTTAAGCATTTGATTTGGTAATTGTGTTGAAAGCTCTCTCTCTCTCTGTGTGTGTGTGTGTGTGTGTGTGTGAGAGAGAGAGAGAGAGAGAGAGAGAGAGAGAGAGAGAGAGAGAGAGAGAGAGAGAGCTGAGCCCTTCTTTTACTTTTTTTTTTAATATACATATTTTCTTTTTTGTTTATTTTGAGACAGGGTTTTTCTATGTAGCCCTGGCTGGCCTGGAACTCTCTCTGTAGAAGGGTAGGCTGGCCCCAAACTCATAGAGATCTGCCTCCCAAGTGCTGGGATTACAGGCGTGTGCCATCAACACCAGGCTTTTTTGGTTTTTATCAAGACAGGGTTTCTCTGTGTTGCTTGGACTGTCCTGTGACTTGCTCTGTGGACCAGACTGGCCTCAAACTCCTAGAGATCTACCAGCCTCTCCCTTCTAAGTGCTGGGATTAAAGGCTTGCACTCCCTCCTACTCATTTTCTTAACTGTACTTACCTTAGAGATTAAAAGTAAAAGAGGTAATCCTCTGTTGGAGCCCATCCCATTCACTGAATTCTTTTTTTCTCTTATCCCTAATCTGTGTTTGCACTGTTCACGCCTTGTCTCCATTTCTTTATTCTTCAGTGTGACACTACAAACTCTGGAACCACCAGGGTGGCTTTGGTGACTGTTGATCATCTGCCACCCTAGCTCTGAGTTATGTTCACCAGAAACCAAGATGGGCTCCTTTGCTTAAAGACAAAAAGAACCACCAACAAAAAGCTGCATATCACACCATCCCCTACTTTCTCACTTTTCCTTAATCCGTTGTTCACTTTGCTAAAATAAATAACAAGACAGAGAGAGAGAGAGAGAGAGAGAGAGAGAGAGAGCGCTTTCCCAGTGTGCAACCCTGGAAGCAGGAGAGAGGTAGCAGGCAGGCGGGCAGGTGGGGTGACTTGCCCTGTGTGGGCCTCTGGGTTGTGCTGTGTTTGGCTTTTGTTTTGAGACAAGGTCTCACAATGTACCCCTGGCTGGCTTGATACTCCCAACATAAACCAGGCTGGCCTCAAACTCACAGATCTGTCAGCCTCTGCCTCCCAGGTGCACTCCTGGGTGAGTGTTTCTGAGCACTTCCTTTCAGACCTCCCCCCCACCCCCCATACTCCCATCTCAGCCTAGAAGGTTTGTGCAGCCACCGCTACAGAAGCTGGGGTTCCAAAGATGCTAATGTCCCTCCTACTGTGACATTAGCCATATGCAAGCCTGTCCCCTTCAGCTCAGATGTAGTTCCTGTCTCTCTTTCCTTGAGTTCATCTTTGTCTCCCCACATATTTTATATTACACTAAATAATAAAACAATAGTACTTGTTACAGGTTCTGCTTCCCGTTGGTTGTAAGTTATTTAAGGGTTTGAATCCTTTTTGTCTTTGACTTTTTGGAGCTGAAATAATACATTTAAACTGTTTTGGTGCTGTAGAGAGGGAAGCTGGGGCTGGAGATGCAGCTTATTTGCTGGAATGCTAGTGTATACAAAGCCCTGGTTTGATCCCCCATGTCACATGAACCAGGTATGCTGGCATATAACTAAAGTCCCAGCACTTGGAAGGCAGAGGCAGGAAGCAGGAACATCTAATGATGTTCAAGGTCATCCTCAGCTACACAGAGAGTTTAAGGCTATCCTGGGCTACAAGAGACCCTACTTAAAAAAAAAAAAAAAAAAAAAAAAAAAAAAAGAAGGGCTGGTGGGTTGGGGGATGTACTGGAGAGATGGCTTAGTGATTAAGAGCATTTGCTGCTCATGCAGACCCAGGTTCAATCCCCAGCACCTATGGTGGGTGATTCACAACTATCTGTAACTCCAGTTACAGGGGATTGGACACCCTCTTCTCACCTTGGGCACCAGGCACAAATGTGGCCCACATACATACCTGCAGGTGAAACACACACATAAAATCTAAAAAAGTTGTTTTGTTTTAAAAGAGGACAGCTGGGCATGATGGCTTATGCCTATGACCCAGCAATTTTGTTTTGCTTAAACAGGGTTTCTCTGTGTAGCCCTGGCTGTCTTGGAATTCACTTTGTAGGCCAGGCTGGCCTCAGACTCACACATATCTCCCTGCCTTTGTCTCTGAGTGCTGGATTAAAGCCATGCACCAACACTACCCAGCTCATTTTTGTTTTTTTGAGACAAGATCTCATGTAGTTCAGACTCAGCAAACTTACTAGTTTGCTGAGACTGGCTTCCTGTCTTTGCCTTCTACATTCTGGGACAATGCATGACAATGCCCAGCTTTGGTAAAACCATTTTGAAAATCAGTTTAATTATAAAAAAAGATTTATTTATTTATTTACTTATTTATTTTATGTATTTATTTTTGTTTTTTCAAGACAGTGTTTCTCAGTGGCTTTAGAGGCTGTCCTGGAACTAGCTCTTGTAGACCAGGCTGGTCACAGAGACCTGCCTGCTTTTGCCTTCTGAGTGCTGGCATTAAAGGTGTACATCACCACCACCCAGCTCAAAAAAAAAAAAAGTGTTTGAAACAGAGTCTGACACTTTCCCTGTGACTGGCCTGGAACTTGCTGTTGTTTGTCCGGCTGGCTCACAGCTCCTGTCTCTGCTTCCTGAATGCTGGAATTAAAGCTGTGAACTATCTGCAAAAACATTAAGCTACCATAAAACCCAATAAGTTCATTCCTATGTACATATCCCAAAAACATTAAAGCATATATTCACACAAAAATCTGCATGTGAAAATTCAAGGAAACATTATTCATAACAACCCCAGACTGCAACCAACTGAAGTACCAACCCCCCACCACTGTAGGTGGGTAAAGGAAGTGTACCCATGCCACAGAATATGTTTAAAATGAGAGCAGTGGTGGACTTGCAGTGACAAAATACCTGGGTGAACCTAAAAGTGCTTTTCAAAGTGAACGAAGCCAGTTCCCCATGTATTACATAGTGAATCCAGAGCCGGAAAACCTACAGACTGTAGCCTTGTGCTTGTCTGGGGCAGGGAGGAGAGAATGTGGAGGGACCTAAGTCAGTATGGGGGTTGCCTCCTTTGGGGAGGTGAAAGTGTTCTAAAATTTGATAGTGGTGATGTCACACGGCTGTGAATATAGTGAAAGCAGGGTGGGACTCATAAAAGGAACAGCATTTCACTACTGCTACCTCTGTGAAGCCTTCATGTGACTCAGACTGCTAAGTTCCTGTACTGTGAGGTCAGGATCCTAAATTAGAACTAGCAATGAGATGTGTAAGACCCACGGTGAGTTCTGTGGATCAGGGGTGAGTCACAGGCCTCAGACTGGAGCACAGGATGCCTGCTGTTTCTTCTCTAAGTTCAACCTTGAGTGTAGAAAAGCTGTTTGCTGGCAGTGTAGGGGTTAAGGAACACGTGTCAAGGCTGGGAGCGATGGCTTATTAGTTAAAAGCATATATTGCTCTTCCAGAGGACCTGAACCTCTTTTAGATTCTGCAGGCACCTGACCTGGATTGTATATACCCACATGCAGACGCTCCTATACACACAATTTTAAAAAATAATGAAAATACATCTTAAAAACAAATTAAGAAATTGTACCATTTTATAAGCCTGTCCTCAAGGTAGGATTACAGAGTCCAATTTCTCCAGTCCTTACTGATATGATGATCTGTTCATCTTTTTTTTTTTTTTTGTCATCAGTGGTTGTGATACAGTATCTCAATTGTGTTTTGTTTTTTGTTCATTTTTTCTGTTTTCATTTCTTTTTAGAATTTCATATATGATTACTGTATTTCCACCATTTTCCCTCTTTGCTCCAGTTCTTCCTGTGTTCCCTCAACTCCTTCTCAAATTCATGGCCTCTTTTTCTTTAAGTATAATTGTTACACATGTATGTGTACACACACACACGCACACACAGTCTGCTGAGACCATGGGGGCAGCTCATATGTGTTCATGATTGACCTCTCAGGATTGGCTAACCTGCCATGGGGCTTGTTCCTGGAGATGACTGATTCCAGCAACCTGTAGTTCTTCTGGGGCTGAAGCCTGTGGGAATTCCCCCATCTATGTTGCTATGTCAGTTGGTGTTGCTTAGCAACTCTAATGGGATTTTCTGGGTGCAGATCTCCTGTCTCACAGCAGACATCCCCTCCTGGTTCTCTGGCTCTTGCAATCTTTCCTACTCTCTTGAT